TTTAATTCTAGAAAATGCTTTACTCTGATTCACATTCCACACAAATTGTGTATTGTTTTTTAACAGGGCATATAAAGGACTAGCGATTTGTAATGATGTAAAAATTGGAGAATTAATATGTTAAATTGTGGAAAAGTACTTATATGTTTTTTTTAAATCATTACTTATTATATTATATATTTTTAATATTACCTCTCCGATGATTGTGTCGGTCTGCCTCTTGACAACCGTAGTTCATTCTTCAGGTATGGAATAAGGTGACCAATTTATATTTTAAAATGACAATAACTTTCTTTTTTAACTCACTTATATTAATTTTATTTCAATTACTTATACACACATTAATACATTTATTTTAAACTTTAACAGAATGCTTTACAATTCATTTTATCTTTCTGCATAGACGATCTGCGTAGTCTTTTACACTCGCCTTTGACCGTCTATACCAAAGAATAACAAGAACGGGTCTTCCTTATGTTTGAAAATGTTGCTCTTTATATTTAATGTCGCCTGTGCGCGCGCGCGTGTATGTGTGTGTGTGTTATATTTTATCTTTAGTACTTGTGACTTATTCTTATATTTAATGTATACTGATTATTATAATTATTTAATCGTACATACAATTTTTTTAAAAATATATGAATGCTTAGGCGCATATCATTACAGATTGTAGACATATTTTCTACAAACTTGTCATAATAATTAACCAAACCTAAAAATGCCTTCACATCTTGTGTATTTTTAGTTATTGCCACATTATTAATTGATTTAATTCTTTCATCTGGTATATGAAGACCATTTTTATCTACCTTGTAACCTAAAAAAAGTAACATGATCACTAAAAAATTTACATTTTTCCTTCTTAACTGTTAACCCGCCACAGTAAGTTTATCTAAAACACTAAACAATCTCTCACTCAATTCATTGTCATCTCTCCCAGCTATCACAATATCATCATAAAAACACACAGTTCCCTGTATACCACTTAATAACCTTTCCATTTCTCTTTGTAATAACCCTGGAGCAGAAGCTATACCATATGATAATTAATTAAATATGAACAAACCTTTATAAGTAGATATAGCTGTAATTTTTTTACTCTCTTCACTAAGTAACAACTGCTGATGCGTTTGGCACAAATCTAACGAACAAAATTTAACAGCCCCTTGAAAAACATTCATTAAATCAGCTACTCTTGGAATAGGATATCTATATATTTCCAAATACTTATTAAGTGTAACCTTATAATCCCCACATAATCTAATTGTTCCATCAGTTTTAATTATAGGAACTATAGGCGTATCCCAAGACTAAGTTTCTACAGGAATTATCAATTTAGTATTAACTAATCTATCAATCTCATCACTAACTTTATTCTTTAAAGCAAAGATAAAACTCTAGGTTTAAGAAAAATAGGTTTAAAATCTTTTTTAAGAATCAAATCAAATATTTTGTTCTTATAACACCTCAAAATATCAATAAAAACTAATGGAAAAGTTTATACCACATTCTGGTATGATGTTAATTTACATAATGAGTAAGTACCTGAATGCATTGGAATATTCAACTCAGTTAACCACTCCCGACCAAGAATTGGAGGACTACCTTCTTTAACAACAACTATTTCCAATTCTTTATAAACCATGTTATATTGAACTTTAACTTTTAATACACCTAAAGGCACAATAACAGTATTTTTTATAAGTCTTCAACCGTATGTTAGATTGTTCCACTTTGTTCAAATATTCAATCTCATAATATTTTAAATCTTTAACATTCATAACAGTCATACTTGACCCAGTATCTATTTGAAACTCAACAATTTTATTCTGAATACATAATTTCATAATATAAGGTTGAACATAATTTACATTTACACTTTCTAAATTATATAAATTATCTAAATTTAAATCAATATCACATTGTTCCAAATTATTAACTTTTTTAACTTTAGCTTTACATACTCTTTTTAAATGACCAATCTTAGAACAATTTGAACATGAATATGATTTATACTTACAAGATGACTTTGTGTGACCCTTTGTCCCATAACAATAACAAACCATATCCTTATTACCATTGATATTTGATGTAGTAGCCTTCCCATTATCCTTTTTTCGGTGAAGCTCTGTTCCCAATGTTGTTCTGATACTTCTTACTCTTGAGCTACTTGTTGTAATTAATTGCATGATGTTGATCCAATTTTCTGACATTATTGCTAGCTGATTCCATTGCAAGTCCCAATTCCATACACTTTTTAAAAGTTATCGTTCCTTCTGATAATAGTTTTTTCTTAACATTACTATCCTTAACGCCCCATATGAATTGATCACGGAGACTCATTCAAACTGGTAGCAAATTCGCAAAATTCTGACAACTTCTTAAGTGCCGTAGCAAATTGAATGATTCACTCATCAGCTGCCTGTTTACGCTCTTTAAATTTATAATGTTCTGTTATTAAATTCGTTTTAGGATTAATATAATCCGATAACGATTGTTTAAGATCATCATAACTAAGATCTATGGGGTTTTTTTTAGAAGTACATAAGTCACGAACTAAGGAATACCTATCGTTTCCTAATAACGTTAGAAACATTAACTTATTCTTATGCTTGATAATTTCATTAAGGTTAACATATAACTCGAACCTTTCAACCCACGCATTGAAATCGTCGTCCTTCAAATGTAATTCTGACATTTGCCCTATGCAAAAACGGCTATTACCAACACTAAGAACATTACTTTCAACTTAAGAAGAACCTTGTTCGCTCGGCATCTTGACTTGCTGAATGATCATGTGTTCCAACACTTCCAAAGTTCACACACCCGTGAATATGTTCAATACTTCGTCGCCATTGTTATGTTCATTAGATGAGTTGACACTCAGTCAACTTATAATAATAAAAACACATAAACTATATATTTAAGAACTCTTATATATTTAAAAAGATAACTCTTCTGTACCACGTGTTCAGTCACATAACGGCTTTGCCATACAAAAAGATAATACTGAGGTTACCGTTTATGGAACAAAAACTAAACATTACAACAATAATTTATTTCAGTTTAGGAGACACAGGGCATGCTAAATGAATCATTTTTTGACTTACATTTACTATTTTTACTGGTAACAAGGGTGAAACAATGATCTGGACCACTGGTTATGTTTAAAGACAATTTTGATTCTGAGTTGCCACCCGAAGACAACGGTAGGAAGAGGGGTTATAATAACGGAAAATTAAATACTCGATGTGTATTAAAACTGTTAAACAGCGATTGAAAAAAAAATGGCATTGTACTTGAATACAAATTCTGTTTGCAAGCTAATATATATAGTAATTGTAATAACATCTTAGACTAAGAAAAAAAAAGATTGCCAATATTTATGAAAATAATCAATTTTGTTATATTTCAAACTTTAAACATTAATGAAAAAAAATTGACAAAGACTGACATTGACTTTCGAGCACTAAGTATAACAATTTAAAGGTAAACTTTAATAGTGTTCAAGTAATAAACACACTACTACTTGTTTAACCAATATACAAATATATCTATATATATTTAAATAACATTTGCAGAGGAAATCTTAATTTTTGATTTTAATAATATTGTACATACATATATATAAGTGGCATATACAGGGGGGTGCCTAGTGGGTAATAGCCCACCCCCGAAATGAAAAAATGAAAAATTATTTTAAACATTTGTTATATTTTAATGGTGCTTTATGCTTATTTAAAATTTGCGTCCAACATCAAATTGTTTTGGGACATTCTGTAAAAAAAATGTAGAATGTAGATAAGTACCTACTGTGTTCTGTTAGTAATTCTTAGATAGCAGTGGTAATTAAATTCTGTTCATAGTAGCCTCTCCCAAAAATATTTTCTGTACATGCCACTGATATGTATATATATATATCTTCTTCCATAGCTTTTACAGTCCTTGAAAGACTTTCGCTGCCTCTACTATTTTTTTTACTTTATATATATATATATATATTTATATATAATTATTAATTTTTAAACCAATAATTATATTTACATTGCAGACAATATGTATAATTTATACAACAAATTTATTATGTATCTTATTTTGCAGCATAAATATGATCGTTTTTGTAAAATTAAAATATAAAAACTGTAATATGATGTAAATTTAAAATAAAATGAAAAGATTTCTTTGAATTAATATGCGAAAAATAAAATGTACATGTTAGTTTAAAACAATAATGATTTTTCAAGTAAAACATAAAATTTATGTTTTACTTGAAAAATCAACATTTAATGTTGCGCTAAAAATTTGTTTTTACCATAACCTAATAAAAATGAAGAGTTTCATGATGAAACAAAACTTAAATTTATAGTAAGATTATTATGTTTACACATATTCCATAAAATATGCTAAAGTAGATAATGTACTCAAAAATTCAAAATAAGAATTAGAAAATTTGTGGAAAAATAATTCTAGAACCTTAATTTATGAATATCTATCAGTTCCCAAATTATAATTACATTATGTAAGTAGTATGCAAATTGTGACCAGTAGGTCACTTAAAAAACACATTATTTTAGTTACTTCCGGTTGGAAAAAATCACAAAACAATAGTAATATACTATTCTAATAATAATATTGTTCAATAAACATCTGACCCAATAATGAAGAACCTACATTAAGTTTGGAGATATTGACATTTATGAGTATAAAAAATACATTCAGTAGGTATCTGATCAATTATGCATAAATAAGCTTTATACAAATTCCAACAGGGCAGTAACAAATTGATTATCTTTTGTCATTAGGTATTACATACTAAGTAAATTCAAACAACAACAACTCATAGAGTTTAAAAATTGTTGACTTTTAGTTGGTAAATTATTTTCATAAGGATTTCAGTTTTTTTAAAATAAATGTGTTATCATTTGCATAATACATACATAATATAGATTAGGTACTAATTATTTTTCCTTTTAAGATTAAATAACAGTTTATGAGAAGAATATTTTTTAAAAAATGTAGATTGTAATTTTTTGCATTACATATCAGGTGTTAACAATCTAAAAAGTTTGCAGCCATCAGTAATTCCAATGCGATTTGCGGTGGAATGGGAAACTCCGGTATTTCAGTTGAGCTATTAGTGTAACGAGCTTTATACGTAAAGTACATACACACCTTTTGTAAAACGTGCGAGCTAAAAAAAAAATAATACATGTACTCTGTTATCAACCACTTACCAAACATAGGTACTAACGGTATTTCTCTGAAATGGATTTCATTGGTTTCGTTTTCAGCAAACTGTCCAGGGCCACTCAACATAGCTTTGATCGTGCCTGACATCAAGGCGTGCTCTCGTTTCACAATGAATTCATGACCGTCGCTTGAGATTAATTTAACGTACATGGCGTCTGGACCCTCGCAATTGCCATACGAGACGTTCTCCTCGTCCTGGGTACAAAAAAAAAAAAAAAAATCATAAAACGCACATCACGGTTTTCGGTATAATTGCACGGTCACGATCGTCTTCGTCCTCACCTGTCCATCTTCCGCCATGTCGACGCTCATCTTGTTGGGCAACGGAGAACAACGACCTGGCGAGACGAGTGGTGCAACCCGAACGGAACCGACTGCACGCGGAACAAGTCGGCGGACGAACTCCGGCCGTTGACGGTTATCGCGGAATCCCGTAAAAATCCTGTGACCAAGTGGCGAGTGGTACCGTCGCCGCGGTCTTATCCTCTTATCACCAGGAAAGAAGTGCGAATAAGTGCGGGTGTGCGCGTGCGCGCAAGCCGACCGGACGCAATGCACCAACCGAATCGCGTCGATCGCGAAACATATGACGCACCGCGGTAACGATTGGTCGTCCCTGTCGGCCAGCGCCGTCGCCGTGCGGGGCCCACTGCGTCGAGTAGCGTTATCACGTTCACGTTGACCGTGACGAGCGCGTGTGCGACAGAGACGGTGAGCGGTCGTGCAAGACAACAGCAGAACCGAGATAACGGCGATTGCGACGACCGCATTCGTCAACGTTTGTGGGACACGGTAACGAAAACGTAAACAATAATAGTAATAGTAATAGTGTAAATAAAAAGAAAAAAATATATATCCTTAATCGGTCCCGTGCGGTCGACGACGTTAGCCGCCGCACGCCATGAAAGCTCTGGTCGACATGTTTTTGTTCCTGTTCAAATCCAAATACCGACGGAAACGGACGGCGACAGCTGCTGCAGCAGCGGATCTCGCTCTGCTGGCGTTAGTCCTGGCGTCCGTGGCGTATTGCGAACCGGAATCGTGCAAAGACGTCGAGTGCGTGAACGGTGTCTGCTTGAATGGGACGTGCCTGTGTCATGACGGATGGCAAGGGAAACTGTGCCAGTACTGCGGAGGCAAAGTCAAGTGAGTTACGGACTGCGTATGACGAACTAGACGTTGAGATACTGAGGTCTTGTGCTTATTAGAACCTCCCAGTTTGTCCTTGCAATATGGGTCAACTTGTTATGAATTATCGAATCACACACTGTTGTTGACAAGAAGAGTTGTTCGATTGTCAGTGAATACAGGTCCTCATCCATTCTGCTAGCGTATATTCAAAACAATAAAAAATTGTTGGTCTTAAGTTATTCAAATATTTATCAGTTCTATAAATCAATTAATCCCTATTCAATTTCCAACTCATATTTGCATTTGAACATAGTTTGAACTGATTTAACTTTGGTATAAAACATCTTGGTGTAACTTATTTGTGTGGCCTAGTTTTTTTTTCTTCATATAAATGTATAAATATTATTTCAAATTTATAGGTACTCAACTAGTAAATAAGAATATATAAATTTGGTAATTAGAAATGATTTATTTACAATATTGTTTTATTTAATTTAAATATACTTATTATAACTTAATTAGTCTTATTAATAATTATAAAGAGGTATACCAAGTGAAAATACATTCAATTTTTTTTACATTTAATATTTATTTGTAAGTTTTTTATTCATCACACATTATTGTTGTAAGTTCTAAAAATTATATTCATAAAGTTCAAAGAAATTAAATAATGGTAGTTTTAAAGAAATAATAAATAGTAAAATGTCCATTTTAATTACTTGGATAAGGGATGCTCAATTTTTAGTGTTTTAGCTGAACAAATGGTAAATCTATTTCTGAATTTATATAATTATTAACTTCATAATAAATTAAATAATTTATTTTATTTTACATTATCGTATTCCTATAAACTTTTTTTGTTTTTAAAAACTGTGATTAAACTTTCATATTTAATTCATATATAAAACATAGCATTGCTTACTATTTAATTATGATTTAAATTTTTTTTTAATATTAAATGAGAGTTATTTAATATTACTATGAAACTTTTGGCATAAATATATTTACATTGTTTCAACAAAGTATTTAGTTGTTTATTGTATTTAATGCATACTAAAAATATAAATATTCATTTTAAAGAAATTAAATATCAAATTTGAAAAGTCATAATATATGTATAAAAAATACAGTACCATAAATGTATTTACCATAAAAGTATACTGATAAGTTTGCAAACCTGTAAAAAAAATATTTAGTTAGTTATATTCTCAATAATCAACTGAAGTTATACTTATATATATATTGTTTTTTTTCAATTATAAATCAATGTTGTCATTATGAAGTACTGAATATTTAAATTTTATAATTTATTTTCTTTAAATAACATAATTTTTCAGTTGTTTTTATTGTTATTGTTTTATAACACTAATTCGTAAAAACAAAAGAATAAAACTGGGATTATCTTTGATTTTCGATGTAAAATAAAATATTTAATAAAGTTAAATTTAAATTTTATCCTGAAATGAAATTCAAATTAATTTTTAAATCATAACAACTTACTTGTTAGGTACATTTTTTTTACACATCATGATTGTATATGGCCTGTATTTATTACCAAAATAATATTTTTTATTTATTTGTATATAATGTGATAGTAAGGTACATACAGATACAGGTGCATACACATGGGGGGGGGTTTAGGGGTTCAAACCCCTACCGAAATTCAGGTTAATGATATTAAATATGTTTTTATATAGTAAAATTGGTATATAGATTATATTATTATGAAAATGTACAACCTAAAACCCCTCCCAAAATATTTTTTTGTGTACGCGCCTGTACAGGTATACAATTCACAAAAAACAAATGAAAATAAGTTGAAAACAATGATTTGATAAATACAACAATTGCTCATTGATAAAATGTTAACGATCATAGTATTATGACTTATCCACAATCGCATATTATTGTCAATAAAGCGTAGATATTTATAGTCCGTTATCTATTTAATTTTACTAACCGTATAAATAACGACAACAAAAACTATTATTGTCTTGATCGGCTAAATATATTACACTCGCTGCCCGCCACATGGATTTGCCATTTTTTGTCATTACATCCAAATATTCAAAAATGGAAATTAACGTGATATAGCTATACGGTTGACATAAATTAATAAATATTTTACATTTTAGAAATTGCTAATTTAAATATTGGATATATTAAAAACTAAAAACTATTAAAATATATGTTACAACTGATAAAAGTAGCTTTGTCTATTAATTCATACATTTTTACGTTTTTTAAATCAAACAATTTGTACTTTCATTTTTGTCGTTTTTCATCAGTTGTTTTGATGAAAAGTTAATGAAAAATTAAATGAAAAATTAAATTTGCAGATTGAATGGAACTTCTGGTTATATATCTGATGGTATTGGTAATTACTCAACTGATGTGAAGTGTAGCTGGTTAATAGAAGCAGGAAATTCTACAAACTCCACAATAAGACTGCATTTTGAAGAATTCATTACTGAGTGTGGTTGGGACCATTTATATATATATGATGGGGACAGTGTTCATTCTCCACTTCTTGGTGTTTACAGGTTTGTAATATTTACGTATTTATGTACACAAGTGTATGAATTTATACATAAATTCTATCAACTATTTATAAAAATTAAATATTATCCAAACACGTTTTTTTTATCCTAATTAAGTATACTTTTTTAGTGGCCTTATGTACTCAAAAGACTACTCATTGCACAGTGTACCAGAAATAGTTGCTCATTCCGGATTTGTTTTATTACATTTTTATAGTGATATTGCTTATAATTTGTCTGGATTTAATATTAGTTACAGGTATTTAAAAAAATTAATTAACTTAACTTGTATGCCTAAAATAATTAATTTAAGTGGTGTTAACCTATTTAATAATTTTCATAACATAATAACATGAACCGCATGTTCATTTTATCTTTGTAAACAGAATTTAAATATAAAAAATTTCAGTTTAAACACATGTCCAAGTACAACTTCTTCTAAAGAATGTTCAGGGCATGGTATTTGTATAGACTCTGTATGTACTTGTGATGCCCAATTTACTGGTGAAGCTTGCCATATTCCAATTTGTCCAAATAAGTGCACAGCCAGTAATGGAGTATGTGATCAAGAACAGCATCGCTGTATCTGCAATCCAAAATATAAAGGTAAATTAAATATTAAAAGATTTATACTCAATTTAATATTAATAATTATTAATTATACTTTGTGTAGGTGATGACTGTAGTCAAGTAGCTGAACATGGTTACTGGGAAGTAATTAAGACTAATGATTTTATTCCCCAAGGATCTGCTTCTCACACTGCTGTTGTGTGGCAAGATTCTATGTATATTGTTGGGGGTGAGTCTTTTAAAAAAGGACACATGCTGTATGTTTATGATTTCAATGGTAAGTTATTATTAAATATTAGATTTAAATGGTAAAGTATAATTTCTATTATGTGTTAGGTCATGTGTGGGAAACTCCTCATGTAATAAGCAAAACAGCACCGACTATACGATATGGACATTCTTCTGTGCTATTTGGTGTACGTATAATTTCATCTTAATAATCAGTATAATAATACAACTAATTGTGATAAAAAATTATTGTTATTTTTTTAGGATAAAATTTATGTTTATGGCGGTGTTAAAGAAGATGGAGTAGTCTGTAATGAATTGTGGGCGTATGATATAAGTGCAAAATCCTGGGAAAATGTCACAGTTAATACTGGATCATGTGAAAGCACTCTTATGCATATCGGTTTCACAAATCAAGATTTATGTGGACCATTACGTAGTGCTGGGCATACAGCAACATTGGTACCACCTTCAATTATATCACCGTCAACTTCATCTGGATCTGGTGGTAAATTAGTGACAGAAAGAATGATTGTTTTATTTGGTCATTCCCCTACTTATGGATTTTTGAATTTTGTTCAAGAATATTATTTTGGTATGTCATTAATATATATATAAGTATATAACTATAAAATTTTTATAGTTATTGTATCTGTATACATTTTATTTTATAGGCACTAGAGAATGGGCAGTTGTTAAAACTAAAGGTTATCCAGTGAAGGGTGGTTATGGTCATAGTGCAGTTTGGGATTTTGTAACTGAACGCATTCTTGTATATGGTGGTTATGTGTCCATGAGCCCTCTGCAGTCAGCTTTGTCCTCAAATCTTTATGCTTATGATCCTTATACTCATACATGGTAATTATTAAATATTAATATTAATTTTATCGTTAATTTTAGATTATTGTTACAATTTTTTTTTACTTTGTTAGGCTATATTTCATACTACCTAGAAATACTTTGTTAAAACATTTATCAAAGATAAAATTATTCTGGTTACAATAATTAACAATTTTTATTACTTAAAATATTATATTAGAATGTAATTGTAGTTTCTTAGTCAAGTAATTAATACAAACTTTTTTTTATAATTTTAACTTAACACTTAAGGATATTAAGTCTAAGATAGATGTATTTTATGGAAATATTTTTTATTAAAATAATTTCATAATTTACAAATAACAACTTTTTTTAGAATTTAGGAACAAAATTTAAGCGTAAATTCAGTCAATGATTTTAATTTTTATGTGTTAGGAAGTTTCTAGTGTTGAGAGAACATTTATTTGTTATGATTTTGACACCTGTTTTGAATAATATAATATCTATTTATAATACAATTTTTAAAATAGCAATTAATTTTTTTTTTTTTATATTTGTATTTTTTATTTCTCTAATATCTGAATTATAATTTAAGTTCTGTAATTACAATAATTTTTAAATTAGTTAAATTTAATCTTTACCTCATGAATATTTTATTTTATAGGTATCTTATGAGTAATGGTCCTAGTGGAAGATTTCTGCATAGTGGTTCAATGCTAGAACCTCTTGGAGGTTTAATGTTGATTTATGGTGGAAATATACATAATGAAACTGGAATAAATTTGGTACCATCTAGTGGTCAGTGTTATACTGCACAGCCATTGTTGTATGACACTTATTGTGATTCTTGGACACAAATGACATTGCCTTCCAACTTGTTCACTAGTCTGATGCGATTTGGACATTCTGCAATAACATTTGAAAAATCCATGTATATCTATGGTGGTTTCAATGGTCAAATGCTTAATGATATTCTCAAGTAGGAAAAAATTAATTTTTTAATATTTTGTTGACACTAATCACTTTAACAACCTTTTTTCCAAATACAGATTTACTCCTGGAAATTGTTCATCAAATAACATGATTACTAATTGTTTAAACAGTCGTCATTTTGGAGTCAAATGTATGTGGGATAATGAAAAAGGTATCTGTTTACCATTTTCTGAAATCCCACCAACAACACCTTCTTTAGATTTTGAAATGACATATAGGTAATATATTCACTTCTTAAGTAATAATTAAAAAAAATGTTATACAAATATTAAATATGGTATGTATTAAAAAAAAAATGTAGTCGTTGTCCAGAAGAAAGTAAGTCTCAAGTCAGAGAAATATATATTCAGTGTAATCATCAAACTACTTGTGAATCATGTGTCCATACTCATCGTTGCGGCTGGTGCCCTTTGTCAAACTCCTGTGTTCATGATATTGAACAGTGCACTGCAAATAAAGAAGATATTCCATACAGCATAGAGCGTGTAAGTATATTGTTTGTATATTTAGTGTAATTATGCCCTATAGTATTGTATATCTTATACTTAATTATGATATTGTATTTGTAGCCTATAACATCTGGTTATCAATGCATAAAAGACAATACTGATATACGTTGCAATCATCTTCATTCTTGTCAGTCTTGTGTTACACATACAGGATGTTTTTGGGATTCTAAACTTGATGTTCACATGTGTAGACCAAACAACTATTCCATACCTTATGAATTGAAAGTTTGTCTTTTTTTTTTTTTTAATTTATCACTATTTTTATTTAGTTGACAGCATTTGATAATTTCTTACTATTATAGTCACCAGTTGTATGCGAGAGTATTTGTGACCATTATACTGAGTGTACAAATTGCACAAAAGATGAATGCATTTGGTGTCAAAATAATGAACGATGCATTGATAAGAATGCGTATACATCTTCATTTCCTTATGGTCAGTGCAGAGAATGGACAACAGATGCACACCGCTGTCGAGCTTCTCCTGGTAAGTAATTAATTATACTATTAAGCCAACTTACAAATTATAGTTGATACAAATTTATAATTTGGTCTATAATGTACAATATAAAGTTTACTGGTTGATATATATATATATATTTTTTTAATAAATAGATAATGTCTTATATTCAATGTTGTACAGTCCATAAAATTACAAGACAGCTTAGTAATTTAGTATGAACTTTAGTTGGAATAAACATAAAGATATAAATTTATGTTTGTGCTATGTGGCATAATACATATTTTTTTTTAAAGAAAATTTACAATCTGTACAAATAAATAAATTACAATGAGCAAATTTGATAACAAACAGAAATTAAATTGACAAGAATAACATGTTGAGGAAATAAACCATTGGTAACACCTCTTTAGTTTAATTGATTTCAACACCTTTTTCGTTTAAGTCTGCGAGGTGAGTTTTTAGATAGAATAATGGTAGACATTTGTGATATGAGTAAGTTACTATCTGTGTTTGAATGTTGATGGAAGTACTTATACATTGTTTTAGCTAGTTCGGTGTTAGTTGTTATTTTTAAGTCATTATCTAGAGAAAGATTTGAAACGTACCAGGGAGCATGTGTTAGTAGCCTCAAAGATATTAATAGAAATGTCTGTGTTGGTCTTATGTTAGATGGTTTTGCAGGACTCCATATTACTATTTCATAGGACCAAACTGGCTTTATAATTGTTTTATAAATGAGTAGTTTATTTTGGAGTGATATTTTTGAGTTTAGGAGAGGGCGGAGGAGATGAAGTCTATTGTTTGCTGATTTTTATTTTTCCTTTAAATGCGGTCACCATGTTAATTTTTTGTCGAATGTTATACCTAGGTACTTTATTTCAGTTCGAACAGGTATAGGGATGTTGTTCATTATTAATTAAGGACATTCTTCAGGGATCTTTTTAAAGTAGAAGTAACTTGAATTTTCATGAGTCAATTTTGTTTTCTTGAGTCTGGAGTGAATTGGTAACTTGGTTGTGATTTGCACTGGTTACTAGAATAACAGTATCGTCAGCGTATGTGGCAAGGAAGGTGTTATTTGATTAAGGAACATTGGCTGTAAACAAGTTATATAGATCGGGAGACAGATCACTACCTTGTGAAACTCCGGCATAAATTTGGTGGGTGGACAATAGATCATTTTCTTGACGTATGACAAAAGATCTATTTTGTAAATATGATTTCATAATGAGATAGTTTGGAGCGTGCATGTAATGTTTTAATTTGTATAGAAGACCTTTATGCCACATTCTGTCAAATAATTGAGCTATGTCTAAAACGAGTCCTGAACAGTATTGTTGATTTTTCAGGGCAGTTGAGATTTCGTTGGTAAGTCTATGGATTTGATGAATAGTTGAATGCTATTTCGAAATCCGAATTGGTTCTTTGGGATTAAATGGTTATTTTGGAGAATAAGACGTCATAGTATTTTTAAAAGTGCCTTCTCTTATAATGCAGATAATTGTTTCTTGCATTAATGGTTCTTGAAAGTATCGGAATTCATTGTGTTGTATGTCAGAAGAGATAAGAATTGCGGTTCCAGCATCAGCAGAACCATCAGGATGGTTGGTTTTATATAGTGAGTAACCGAATATATTAAAATTTGAATTGTTTATGAGATGAGTTTCGGTTATAAGGGCTATATTGATTTTTTTTTTTTTATAGAGTAAAAGTAATTCATTTTTGTGTTGGGACACGCCGTTTGCGTTCCATAGAAGTATGGTTATTTTGGAAGCGTTGATATGATTGTTAATCATTTTTTAAGAGAACTTTGTTAAAGACTGTTTTAATTAATGTGATTAATGGATTGAATATTAATTTGAGTTCATTTATAAATTAGGTTAGTCAGCTAGTTAAATTTAAAGAGTTACTATTGTTTGCAAAGTTTTAAAACTGGTTGTTTTTTTCAGTATATAAATTTTGTGTGGCTTTAGAGTATATTTTGATAGTTTTGGTTTTCAGGTAAAGAGGTATTTCCAATGAGTTAGGTTCCAAATCGAAAAAAGAAAAGAGTCAATGGTCATTGTGTTTGACATTGGAGCACGTTAACTACTTGAATAGCCGAATAACTATGGGCTTTTAGATCATTTTTTATGAAGTTTTTATTAGTTGTGTGATGTAAATTGCGAATAACTATACGGAATGGTTTTTCCTGTTGGGTTTGATATGTATGAAAATTAACATTTTTATCCTTTAATAGGTATATAACTTTTCGATATGAGTCAGGAGTGTGTAATTGTAATTTTAATTAATTTAAATTACTTTTACAAATAAATTCATTTGAACAAAAGGTTTTTTTTATCGCATCACAAAAACCTGATTATTCCATATTAGATTTAATAATTATAAGTGGTGGTATATGGATTTTTGTTTCATTCTAATTAGAATTAATGTGATTAGTTTTCATATCATTATCTACTAAATTACTTAAGGCAGAGTACCCATTAAGTTGTTTAAGCTGGATTGAGGTAGATTTTTTTAGTTTGGGAGATAAACCAGGTGAGGTGTTAGGTCTTTCATTTGTTTTTTGCAATTGCGGTCCGGCTATTAACTAGTCGTCGTTGTCATTATCCGGTTCATAATATATGTGTTATGTACACCATAGTATATTATATGATATTATATTATTATTATTATCTTTAATATGTATTTATTAATATGTGGGGATAAATGCTGACTATGCATTTGTCCATTTTATACGTACACGCTTGTCCCTAACCCGGCATCGCGTTGTCAGTCGTGTAACAGCTAAGCAACAGTGTATTCATTTCTTATGAGTGTATGAATATTTAATTAACGACTCAATAAAACAGTGTATTATTTCTTATAATAATTGTGTAAATTTATAACCTCCACGTTGACTTCCAAAAGTGTGAACTCAAAACTTTACTTGTGATCGGTGGAATTAACCGAACCTATCGCAAAAACTGATCCTACAGACATAACCGAGCGGCTCACGACAACTGATGGCAGTGGTGCTCTTTTGGAAAAACAACATAAGGAAGCATTTACGAGAGGACGGCGAAAATATTCCAAGTCTTCTCGCGGGTGAATTCACACTTATGTTATTCAAACGACCACTTTATACACGCACGTATATATACAATTGTGTATGTGTGCATGTAGTTGTGACGTATTAATATACGCCATAACTATTCACAGTATAATTGTCGCCGTTCAGAGTGACAGGAAGTCTCATGCTCACACATAGATATATAAAAAGAAAAAAAAACGCTGACGGCAATTTTTTTTACCTGTCAAACACAAACACGGAGGCGCTCGATAATATTTACGAGCACGCCTTCTCACACTTAATTAGTTTACTACTGATAGAGGCGCTAAAAGAGTAAAATAACACAGTGACCTACTCTTGTCGAAAAACTAACATCAGCAGTACATCGAATTATACAATACAATACAAAGTATACTGTTAAACATATTCACGCAATAATACGTAACAAATAATTACGTATATTGATAGTGTTAATAATAATTCAAAAGAGGAAGATAAACCTACTGCGTATTGCATGTGGTCTCCGCGCCATCAGATTCGGAGCTAGAATGTTACCGAAGAAACTTTAAGACTTCGTAGGATCGACATCGGATCATTAAGGACGAAGACACTCAAAACCAACGTTCAACAAGTTCCAAGGGAAGAGGTGATCAACAGACAATCGACCGTCTACTATACACATACTTGTCAGATATCTCGTAATATTGTAAGTTTTATTATACGTAACTGAATGTATACAATTTATTTTACTTAAATAATTTTTATTATATAGTATAAGTAATTGGGATTGTATCATTAGCGTTAATATAATTGTAGATTAAATAGGTTATGTCAAACCCTGTAAGAGGCTTAACCGAATTTAGTGAAAACAATTCTGCTGTTAATAACCCAACTATAAATAAGCCGGTAACACGCGCATTCGCGAGAGAAAATTATATAAATTGTAGTGACGATAAAAATCTAATTGATATTTTGAAAATTTAAGTATGGCCCAACCGACATTATCACTAGAAACTTTAATAAAATGTATACCTAATTTCGAAGGTAAAAAGGAGGGAGACATATATCAATTTTTAAATGCTTGCGATTTTGCAATGGAAAACGTAGACCCCTCGTTAAAAACTGTATTAGTTCAAGCAATTCGGACAGAATCGGGTAGTAAGGCTTTTGCTTTAACGCAAAATAGAATTATAATAGATTGGGTAGGTCTTAAAACATTGCTTAAAGGTTCGTTTTGCGCGCAGAGAACACTCTGGTATTTACTTGAATTGAACTCTACACGACAAAAACCGGATAAATCAGTTCAGGACTATGCGACATGAGTAGAGAACCTTCTTTGCGAGCTATGTAATATTAGTGTAAGCGGAAAAAGTACAAAAGCTGCAACTGCCATTCAAGATTATATTAAAGCTGCAACTTTGACCACCTTCGTCGAAGGCTTTGAACCGAATTTAAGACAAACTATCAAAGCGCGCCATCACGCTTCGCTAGAAGAGGTCATCAAAGATAGTTTAGAGAAAGAAAAGCTACTAAGATCGAACCTAGATTCAACGTTTCTAAAGGATAGACAAGGGAAGAATATAGTTTCTAAATATTGTTCAATATGCCGTAGGACTAATCATAATACTGCACAGTACAGATTCGCAGAGATCAATTCGTTTTCAACGGACACAGGTCAGAAAAATTATATACAACCGGCGACACTAAGTACATCTGTACGTAAAATATCCTGCTCATTCTGCAAAAACAAAGGACAGCATAGACGAATGCTTCAAAAAAAGGAGAGCGGATAAACAGAGGAAGGATCGACAATCAACCTTCAACGCCTGGAAACGATTCGAGACTGAACGGAGAGGGCATTCGTTCGGTCAAGGACGTAAAAATAGTAAGCCCAAATCAGACAAACTAATTCTTCAATTCACACAACTTAAAAATAAACATATTACATGCTCATCTCCACAAAGCACCACAGATAAAGTAAATATGTTGGTGGATACTGGAGCAGATGTCAACATAATTAAAATCAATGCACTACGAGATGATGTTCTAATTGACAATAATAGAAAATATCAGCTATAGGGTATTACCAATGAAAGTAAAAACTCTATAGGTGTGATTCCTATGGACGCGTCTGCAGACGCGCCGTGCCGCGGCGCGATTCAAGTCCCAGTCGCGCGGTCGATATTTTGGCCGCGCGGTTTGGGTACGGATTCCTATAACCGCGCGACTGCTGCCGCACCGCGCCGGACCGCGACGAACCATTTGCTGCAAGTCTGCGTTAGCAACAAGACGTATTTTACAACAGCTCATTTTACAATATCTGTTTCTTTTTCAAAATGTCTTTAAACAAAAAACAAAAGTTAATTTTAAATTTAATTATTTTACAAGAAGTAGATGAAGAATAAACAATTGTTAATAAAATAATGTTTAACAATTCTAACAAAGCACATGAGATATTTTTAACTAGGAAAACAGAAGGTGTCTTCAGTATACTCATCGAAAAACATTTGTGGAGAGAAGGATGTCCACTTACTAGTTCTACTAATTTTACGTCTTCTTCTGGAGAAAACGTAACTTGTGTTAACCATGACATTTTTAAAAAATTATGAAAAAGTGTATAATAATATGTACTAAACAATATGTATAATATAATATACATAAACACACAGCCACGCGCGTCCGCGATTTGATTCCCTTCGGAGCAGTCGCTAGATCGCGGTCGCGCGCCGCAGCGATTGTCATAGGAATCGGTTCCATCTATAGACAAGTAAACTAGTGCAACGCGGCTGAGATTTGAATCGCGCCGCGTCTGCAGACGCGTCCATAGGAATCACGCCTTATCGGTTCGACTCCGTTAGATATATTAATTGGAAACAAAAACTTTGGAACAGAATTTTTTGTGGTGTACGCAGAATTTCCTATAACCGGAGATGGCATTCTAGGCAATCCCTTTCTTACGGAAAACCAGGCAATCATCGACGTCGGGAAAGGAGAACTTTTCGTTTCCGATGGGAATAACATGGTGCTTCAAGCACGTTGTGAAACTATTTTCCCTGCCTATGTAAATAACTAGGAAATGGAATACAAGGATATTCTGATTCATGCGCAACCGACACTGATAATATCTCTTGCAGCAATGTATTAAATCAAGTTATTGATAAGTGTTATCAACACATCAGACAATCCATGCGAATTGGAAATATCATGTCTGGATAAGCTTTACATACGAATTAATCAATGAAGTCTCCATAAAAACTATTTCTCAATCAACACAAATCATTTCAAATTCTTCGAATAGAATCGAAAGATTAAAAATCACATTACGTACAGAGCATATGACAATTGAAGAACGAAACACTATTCAAGAACTATGCTTTGAATATGCCGACATATTTCATTTGGAAGGTGATGTAATGACATGCACCGATGCAATATATTATGAAATAAAAACTCCTAGTGTAACACAACCAACATATCAAAAACCATATAAGCTACCATATGCCCAAAATGGAGAAATTGCTAAACAAGTGGAAGAAATGAAACGAGATGGTATAATAACGCAAAGCAACAGCCCGTGGAACGCATCATTATTGGTGGTGCCGAAGAAAGAAGATGCATCGGGAAACAAGAAATGCAGAGTAGTTATGGATTCCGGAAATTCAACAGTATCACAGTAGGTGATGCTTTTCCCATGCCTAACGTGACGGAAATACTCGATCAATTGGGGAAGGCCAAGTATTTCACCTGCCTTGACAATGCAAGTGGATACCACCAAATACCCATACACTCAAAAGACCGGTTTTAGCACGGATGAAGGACATTATGAATTTCAACGGATGTGTTTTGGGTTGAAAGGGGCACCAGCCACTTTTCAAAGAATGATGAACCGCGTCCTAGTGGGTCTTAATGATGTGAAGGCATTTTTCTATCTCGTTAATGTAATAATTATCGAAACATCTCTGGAGGACTATCAAACTCAACTGAAAACTGTGTTTGAACGGTTCCGACAGTTCAACCTAAAGCTTCAACCGTCGAAATGTGAATTCCTGAGAACAGAAGTTGCATACTTGGGTCACATAATCACAGATGAAGGTGTTAAACTTTATCCCAAAACGACTAGCTGTGTTGTACAGTTTCCTGTTCCAAAATACGAAAAGGAGATTAAATCTATCCTTGGTTTAGCCGGGTATTACAGACGTTTTATCCGGAATTTAAATCAAATTGCTAAACCACTAACAAATGTACTTTAAAGGATGCCAAATTTGTATGGACAGACCTATGCCAAAATGCTTTCAAAGAATTAAAGCAGTTATTATCGCAAAAAAATGCATGAAGGGAAAAGATAACTTTATTAAATATAATCTTAGCACAATACGCATATGAAACAAAAACATTAGAGAATATTGTCAATTCAGCGGTATAAGGTTTTATTCACTTTAGTCTCTTTGATACAGATGTTTTAATGTGACAACTTAAAGAAATAAAAATGCTACTACCCGTAGGACTAGGATTGCCAATTGAAGTTAATAAGCCTAGATTGTTTGAACTGATTCAGCTAGCCTCAACCAGTGTTGTATATATTAAAAATGTATTAATTTTTATTATTACGATTCTGTTAATCGATAGCTACAAATTCTCATTGTATAATCAGCTACCGTTACCATGTCCCATACAAAACAACATATATGGGATAATTGATTCCAATATAGAATACATAGGCATAGAAAAATCTTTTCTATATTATGTATAACTAACCCGCAACTATCAAATTGTAAAAAATACTCTAACACTTTTATACGCCCGTATGAACAGCAACTACACAATTTAGAAAATAATTGTGAAGCAATGATATTTCGTAGTTCTCAAAATTTACCTAGTTATTGTAATCTTAAGTATATCAAAGTAGATGTGAATATATGGTTTAAGTTAGGAAATAGTAATTCTTGGCTCAACGCAGCAAATAAGACTAAAATACATATAAGATGTGAGGACATTACCTCAACCATTATAACCATAGAAGGCACGGGGATATTTAACTTGGATAGTAATTGTGAGGTACATACTGATGATAATAAAATTCTCATTCCTACAAAAATAATCACCTCGAAAGTCGATAAAGATTTTGCTCCTAAACTGAATACTTCTTTGAAATTCCAAGGTTATATCAAAATAGCTAATAAAATTTCTAGCAATGCATTTTTATACAAAGAAAATAAAAAATTCAAGAAAAATCTTGTTATATCTCTAAATGATTTACACACAATGTTAGAGGAAAAATCAGAGAAAGAAACAACTTCTAGTATATTGAATTATTTATATATAATAAGTATCATGATAATAGTCATCAGTGTGGGCTCTAGTTTATTATTATTATATTATAAAATCAAAAATATATTACATTGTAAGAAAAAATTAGAAGATGTCATAACACCAAAGGTATATGAAGAGATAGAATTAAATGAAAAAGCGGCTTCTCCACCTGGAAAATCTTTTCCCAAAATTATGTAATGGACAAATATTTTCCATTTAGCGCTGGGGGTGTTATATACACCATAGTATATTATATGATATTATATTATTATTATCTTTAATATGTATGTATTAATATGTGGGGATAAATGTTGACCATGCATTTGTCCATTTTATACGTACACGCCTGATCCTAACCCGGCATCGCGTTGTCAGTTATGTAACAGTTGAGCAACAGTGTATTAATTTTTTATGAGTGTATGAATATTTAATTAATGACTCAATAAAACAGTGTATTAGTTTTTATAATAATTGTGAGAATTTTTAACCTCCATATTGATTTCTAAAAGTGCGAACTCAAAACGTTAGAATTGCACAAACAATCTTATCTAAAATTTAAGATGAAAGTGAAAATGAAAACCCAGCAGAAATAGTTCTGTTAAATTAACAAATTTAAAAAAAAATATTCCCAATTAACAAAAACTTATCACTAGTCTGCCGTTATATTTTCAGGAAATTCACAATGTAACTACTACAAGACTTGCGTGGATTGCCGAGACGATCCAGAATGTGGTTGGTGTGATGATGGGTCTGGCACCGGTTTAGGATCATGTATGGCGGGGGGAAACACCCCGCCACAGTCGTGTTCTCAAAATAAATGGTATTTCACACACTGCCCGAGTTAGTATAAACATTGGAATGTTAATTTTTTGTTTTTTAAGTATTACAGACGATGCGCGTATTATTTATTGCAATAATAATATCTTATCGTTTATTGATGAATAATTTTTTTGAAAATTGTTTACTCTACGGGGCATTTTTTTTTCGAAACCAAAATATTTCATTGTTGTAGAAAAAATATCAAAAAAATTTGCAAAAATTATAAGTTTTTGAGATTAAGAGATTCTGAAATTTGAAATATTTTTATTTGCTTCTTATACAGCCAATATCTCATTCAATAAATTATCTAGATTATCACTATTATGATGCAGTAGAAGATTTAGAATGGGGTAATTACTAGTTCCTGGTTTCGAACCCTTACTATTTTCTTCAAGATTTTAGAATTCTTTTTCCAATTAATTTGCATTTATATATATATATACACACACTTTAAATTTTAATAACTGCAATTTCATAGAAAAATTCTATTCAAAATATCCCTCGATTTGCTATGGAAAACTACGTCTGGTAAAATCTTACAGTGAAATTAATGTAATTTAGTTATAATTATCCATTACCGATGCCTCCTTATCGACTGTATAAAAGTTTTCTCAGACAATTATCAAAATTATATTCGTGAAAAAATTAAAAAAGGGCAAAAATGTTCCTTTTGGCATTCATGTGGATTTGAACTTGTAGATTTCCTTCTCTGAACCTTTCCATTCCACCATAATATTAATAAATTATGCGCAGTGCCGTAGCAACCAAACATTGCGCCCGGGGTGAAACTTCAAAATGCGCCTTTATGTATTATTAATTTAAAAATATTATGCTTATTAGATTTAATTTTCAATGATTATTTTAATTAATATGAAGGATGTTAAAGATTTTGTAAACAAAATATACGGCATTGACCGTTGTAATTTTTAATTCGTTTTTTATTTTTGCATTCTCCCAGGAATTGCGCCCGAGGCGTAGGCACCTTTCGCCACCCCCTTGCTACGGCCCCGGTTATGTGTTGGGATTATTAGATAAATAATGGGAATATCAAATGTATGTAAATTTCAAAGCTAGATAACTCAACAATTAATTATTTTTCCCTATTTTTTTCTATACCATCGTTTTTGACTTGAAAAAAAATAAACTGTCTCATAAAATAAAATATCCCAATTTGTTTTAAATTAATTATCACATACCGAATAGTTATTCCTAATAGTTGATTCTAGAATAACTAAATATATAACAATTAATCAAGCGATAAAATAAATGATATTTTAATTTAAGTATGTGGGTAACAATTTTCAATTTTTTCTATGTGTGTATCGATTTATTCGTCTACTATCGTTTCTCGTAAATATGCATTACGTGGAATTTTTTTGGCATTTTCAATACACTTTTTTTAACAGAAACGATAGATAATATTTGAATTATAATCAAGCAATTTAGAAAATTTAAATTCCTATAATAAATAATTATATTTTTTGTACTAGTATTGCAATGTAATAATCTTTAAATATAAAAATATGAATATTGTAACATTAAATTTATGTTTACCGAAACATTTTCGAATCTTAAATGCATGTAAAAATAATAAATTGAACTCGTTGGTACAAAAATATTTGTTTTCTTGTCGTTTCGATTATATTAATATGCTTGTTTACTAATTACACAGCTTGCCAGTGCAACGGCCACAGCACTTGCATGAACAATACTGATGTGTGCATACACCCATGTTCAAATAACACAGAAGGCCAAAACTGCGAGACGTGCATCAAGGGTTTCTACGGGAACCCAGTCAACGGCGGTGAATGTAAAGGTGATTACATTTTAATTCCATTCGTATTTGCAACTATGAATAGTTGCAATGGATCATGGTTAGGTATAATTATTAGTGATAATGTTACCAACGATGGATAAAAAATTAAGTGTCAACTCCTAGTTCAGTGAATCCTTTATAACAATAACCGTTTAAATTCTTTAATTTTGACCTCATAATCGATATTTTTTAGAATGCCGGTGCAACAACCAGGGTAATCATTGCAATCAAGAGAATGGTAAATGCTATTGTACGACAAAGGGGATAATCGGAGACAATTGTGAAAAATGTGACACGAACAATCATTATCTAGGAGATCCGTCAAATCACGGTTCCTGTTTTTGTAAGTATTTGGTGTAATCCGAATGCTACAAATTGGGAGAAAAATTTTTTTTCTCAAAGATAAAATTAAACGCGAGTTATTTGTATGTACATTACAGTGTATAATAATTATAAGCGATTTGAATTACACTTATCTTTATTTATTTTAAAAATGATGTTTTTTCACAACATACTTTGTTGTTTCTACTTATCAAATACAACGGAATCTCTATAACCTGAAATTCGATAAGTTTAAATTCTTGATAAAATTTAAACACGTTTAATATATTTGATAACATTCTTTTCGGTTTCAACATTGTCTTTTTCGTTAGACTTCAAGTTATTGGAATTCTATACCAAGTAAATTTTTAACTTTGTAGACGATCTGACTATCGACTATCAGTTCACGTTCAATCTGTCAAAAAAAGACGATCTGAGGTTCACTCAAATCAATTTTCAGAATTCCCCGTCAAAATCTGATGTGGACGCCGATTTTAGCATCACCTGTTCGGTGATGGCCAAAATGAACATCACCGTCCGTTCAGGTAAAAATACTGCGTTATAATGATGAATATTTAGTTTTTAGTATACCTTAGTTATTTAATGAAAACAAAATAGCAGTCCAAAGGTGATTTTTTTCATGTAGCATCAATATACATTTGTATATTAAAATGAATCATATATTCATTATATTCAATCTTTCATACACGTGGTGCAATGTGTTCATTATACATTATTTACAATTTAATAATTATTATTTAACTATTGGTGTGATTTATAATGTAATACATTTAAGTAATGTATCTCCCATAAGATAAGTAAATAACAAAAATAATAGCCTACTTATAAGTTAGATGATTGGTCATCCAGATTAAAAATTGCAATACTGTCATTTAATTTTGTTGTTTAAATTATTTATGTTTAATTGTATTTATAATTTTATTATATCTCATATTGTAGCTTATGGTCCGGAAAAGATGCTTATGCCATTACAAAACTGCACCAATTTCCGAACAAGATTTTTAAAATCTGAATACATGTTTGGTACTGACAGTAACATGTCGTTAACTACATTTTACGTTTATGTTTATGATTTTAAGCCTCCTCTCTGGATACAAATATCTTTCTCACAATATCCCAAACTGAATCTTCAACAGTTTTTCATCACATTTTCGTCGTACGTATCATAAATTAATTATATGTATTTATTTTTTTTAAAAATTTTGCAAAACTATATTTTAAAATTGCAGATGTTTTTTATTATTACTATTGGTGGCTGCCATACTATGGAAACTCAAACAGAAATATGATATGTATCGAAGAAGACAGGTTTGTTTTGTTATTTTTGTAGTACTGATCAGTTAAAAAAAATCTGTAGTTTATTCATTTAAACAATTTACACGTCTAGAGCTTAGAATGAGTTATTAGTTTAGTATGTTATTATGCTTGAAAGTTGATAACAAACATTTTTATAAAATTGTTATAAGTAATATTTTTATATAATATCATACTCTGTTATGTTTAGAGAATGTTTGTGGAAATGGAACAAATGGCTAGTAGACCATTTTCTGTGGTTGAAATGGAAATAGAAAAACGAAATACTGTGCATGGTAATCAAATACCAACGATTTCTGTTTCAAATAATTTGAGGAAACGCAAAATTGTAAGTTTCCTTTAAAGTACATTATTGTATATTAATTGAGGTTATATAGGTACTTAAAATAATAGCAATTGTAACAGTTTTATTATATATTGTATTTATCATATGCTAAAAAAAAATATATCAACTTTTGCACAATTAAAATAAATTACACTCAGTAATAAATCAGATTTAAATCTACTATTAACATTTAACAACTCCCAGGTTATTCAACACTGTATTAGATGTTAATTTAAATGTAATCAGTCAGTCTGATACTTAAAGTATTTGTTATTTAAAAATTGATCAAGTACTTGTTGTTAAAATCATATAGATATATCTAAAATTTATTTAAATTAAATTTCCAAATTGTGTTCATCATATTAAAATTCTCATGTGTTTGCAGGATGTACCAAATCCTGTGGCTTTAGAACCATGCGCTGGGAATAAAGCGGCTGTACTTACGTTGTTGGTTAGACAGCCAACTGGCAATGATAGATACACACCTCATGGATACTCAGGTTTGTATATTACTCATGTATTTTAACTAAAGTGTACTTGTACAAAGCTATTGCAAGAATCAATTTTCAATTTATTGGTTTACTTTAGGCCTAGCAATAGCCTCTGCTCTAGTGGTGGTAGGCAACGTTCAGCAATCCAAGACTAATGGAATTGACAATGGTAGTTCTCCATTACCGGGTAAAGAAGATGTCCGTTGGACAGGCAGAGGCTTGAAAGCCAGTCAACATCCGAGCGAAGCACGCATTTAAAACACCTACATAATAGTATAATGATATTAATGGCTTTCCTCTCCACTGGCGGCGGTGGCAATTTTTCTTTTCTCGGTATTACACGTAATATAATAATTATATTGTATAAAAAAAAACCTATGTAACTTTATAATATTATATATAGTCTAACCTGATAAGACTGATGAGATCGTATACACTTGATGGTATGCGGTGCATTTATGTATTATTACTACTACCCACTAAAATACTACTATACTACTAACCACTATTAAAATGCTTGGCAGTAGCTTAAATTTATTTCATATTTTAATATCTTTATCGAATCTCTCCTTATGCTCATTTTTCCTTTATTTGACCATTTGCCCTTCTCCTCATATCCTTGTTTATTTATCGATACATACACATTCTCACTTAGCTTACTCATATAATTTTCTCCTCGCTTGCCCATACACATTCCTATATACATATTACATATAATTATTATTACTATCGTAATTATTGTTACTTGCACCGAAATAGTATTATTATATATTAGATAAGGCTTTTTCGTCGTATTGTGTTGTCATGTGTACCTTTAAAAATACCAGTTTATTTCATAATGTTTAATTATCTTGTGTAATATTGTGTATGTATGATCTTAATTACTATGTAAATTGGAATCATCTAAATGCTAAATTATGATTATGATTTCTAATTTTCGCTTATTGATCATTTACAAGACTTGTACTTAAGATTTTGGTAAGACATGTCAAAGTAATCTGGTGTTGTCTGTGTTTCATTATGCTTTGCACACATAAATGTACAATCGACCAACACATGCGCGTGCACACACACACACAGTATGTATCTTTTGTCAGCATTTTCATTTATTCTATCGTAGGGGGAACTATACTTCTATAATATATAATATATGCATACAACAAAATTGGTAGTATATCTTTTATAGCTAACTAGATAATTTTTTTTTGTCTCCCGTCGCCATTGAGACAAATCGATTCGAAAAATATTGTGTCGGGGACACACAATCGCAATTCATATTCATTTCCAAACATGATATTATTTGAATATATATGATACAGTACACATATAAGTGGTTTTTCCATGGCTTGTTGATCCTTTCATATTAATTGAATCTTTTTTCTGCCCTATTATTTTAATTTTCTTGTGGTAACATGTTACGATTACCACATATGAGTAAATGAAGAGACCTAATTAAAAATTATTTGTCCATCATATTGATTATTGTGTATAATATAATATATTATGTATACTATGACCTCGGTGATGATGATACTATGCGTAATTGTTTAAAACGTTTTTTATCATTTTAGGTAGATTATACTAATTTTTATATGGCATAAAAAATGTTAACATGTATCATAAAATAAATTTATTACGTTCTTATAAGAAATGTATATTGTTAATAATAATAATAATAATAATAATAAATATTTTCTGTGATTTTAGATATGCTTACTTGTTTATGAGAAGGTTTTTTTTTTTTTTAGTTATTATTAATTTATAATTTTTGATTTTACAGACAATATATAATTTTCCAATTATAACATTGATGCTAATTAATATTCATTATTACAGTTATATTATGTTTAGAGTATAAAAATATTAATGTTATATATAAATATTTATTATATCATTAGTTAATAATGTTAATTTTAGTTTTTAATTTTTTTTAAAAATGTCCAATTTTTTTATTATTATTTAAATTATTATTGTATGTCTGTTAAGAAAAAAAACTATTAAATTATATTTCTTTTTTAATGTTAAATATTTGTTTACTTGAGCTAATTACTTATTAGTTGTTAATTATTAACACTAGAGACCCTATTTTAAAATCCTTTATTGTTATATCCATATTTTCGGTGGCATATATTGAATATTTACAATTTACATGTGTACACAATTAGTTGACATCAATATCTATTTTTGTTGAAACTAAAATGGTTATTAGTTTTTTTTCCTCATTATAGGATAAATAATGTCTTTAAATCCTTATATAGAATATCATAATATTGTTGCAATTAGATATTAGGTTCATTAATTTCATTATATTTTTTTTGATCTTATAAATCTCCTACTATGACGTCATTGCAGTAAAATATTTTTGTTTTTATAAGCTTCATTGTTAGGTAATGTTATTATATTAGACAGTTCTTAAATTTAAAAAAACGTTCAAAAATTATTTAAGTTTAGAGATTGTCAACAATTTTTTTGTTTAAAAATAATTTGGTGATAAATGAAATAGCATTATCAAATTTAATTTTTTTTAAATTATACGTTGACAAACTAAGTTATAATATTAAAAGTGATGAGATCAATGAGATTCCTGGATTTGGATAACTTTTGGTTAGGTACTCATGAGTCGTTTAAAAATTAAAATATCGGAATAAACCAACCAACAAAACAAAGATAATGTTCTTTCCTTAAAATTTAAAAATAGGTCAGTTTACTCTAATATTAAAGCTAACGTCACTACATTTGAACTACTGAACGCACATTTGCCATATTGTGCGTTAGATGGAGATAACACATGCGAGGGTGGCGTCCTTCTAAATAAATAAAATTAAAATTATTAACATAAAATAAAACAATCATTCCACCCAAGCGCAAACAATTTGTTGAATGTTTTTGTAATATACTAGGAAATATATGATTTCTTCTGGTAACTGATAACGAGTTAGAATAGTACAAAATGAACTTTAATTATAACTAAATGCATTTTATCTTTATGAAATACAATATATTTATTCTTCGATTTATTTAATTGTTAATTTCAATACTCAAACGTATATTGATATGTGGCTTACAATTGTAAAATTTTGTTTCAAATCGACTGGTATAAATATACAACTATCATTAGCTCGATCAACTTTTCATTTTGATTATACTTTTGAAAAAAGTGCACGTAACGCTGTTAAAAGTTTTCCCGAACTGCAGAACTATGGCATGTAGATTTCATTTAAATCAAAGTTGGTTTAGACATATTTAAAAAGATAGTCAGCTATTATATGAGTATAAATCAAGTTCTACAGTAGGTGTTTGACTAAAAAAATTTTTTATCTTCGGATTTTTACCAGCACATTTAGTAGAAAGTGCTATTTTACATTTAATTGAAAATGCTCCTACATCTATTTTGGATTTTCCGATTATTTACTTGAAAACTATGTAGAAACTTATGCACAATTTCCACCAACTTTATGGGCAGGTAAACCATTAGATGAAGCCAGAACGATTAATGGTCCAAGATCTTTTCATGTGCACTATAATTCACAGTTTTATACCTCGCATCCGTCTACTTTCCAAGTAATAAACATATTATTAGGTATTCAGACTGAAACATATTTAAAAATAAATAGTATTAAACGTAATGAAAAAAATTAATTACGAAAAGAGCTAGAAATTAACATTACATTTATAACGGACACTTGGGAACAATTTAAAAATAATAAAATATCAATGAATGACTATTTGGAAGCAATGGGACCACTTTTTTGTGCTAGTCACCAAATGTAATTTTTAAAAACAGTTAAATATTAGAAAATATATATTACGATACAATAATTATTTAATTATTATTATTTTTATATGAACAAACAAAATATATGTATCGACTAATGACTCTCAGAATAGAAAAAAAAAAGCAATTTTTAATAAAAAAATTTCGACTATTGACCACGTCAGTATATACATTTAGCATACATGTAATTTAGAAAAAAAAAAATTTTTAACCAAGCCAATGATGATAAATTGTTGACAGTCCTAAGCAAGTAATTATTGGGAAGGAAAATTGTGAATTAATAAGTAATAAGTTTGAGTGCATTTATATGAAAATTATATGTAGAAAGTATGTATTGTATACATTATTTTATGTTGTATATAAATTATTATACATAGTATATGGTGCGCAATGTTGTGATTTTTATCAGATAAAAAAGGATTGGGGCGGAATCGTGTTACAAATTTTTTGTGCAATCGTCATGCAGCTTAGGTTAGGTTAGCTAACGATTTAGTGATTTATCATAATATATTGTTTTTAATTAAAAATGTTGGCTGACATCGTTGTAACTGGTATTATTTTGGT